AGGGAAAAGTAAAACTAAACACACTGAACATGGAAATACCAGACCTTTCAAAATGAAACAGGAGACAGGAGAGACAGATGTGATAACACAAGCTTGACAACATGGAACACGCAGACATGAAACACATGACAGAGTGGACAGGAAACATGACATATAGTCCAGGGAGCACGGATGATAAAATTAACTAAACTAAAACTGACCTGGACCCTAACTAATAATAACACAAGAGCCTCACATTATATCAATGTAACATAAGAAATCAAAATCAATTGAAAATTCTGGGTCGCAGACCCAACCCCCTGACATGCCTGTGAACACAAACGTGAACTCAAAAACACTGCTTTATTGCAGGCGTGGAGATGAAACAAAGAACAAAACTAAACTGGGAACCTCTAATAATAATGAACTCAGGGAAGACACAGGGAGAATAACACACAGCTATGAGGGAGGCATGACACTGAACACTGGAAGACTGACGACTTAAATACACACATGAGGTGATCAGGAGAAGTGGCAATACATGGGGGAACAGCTGAAACAAATGAACATAACAATGTCACAGGGGAAGTGTAAAACTGAACACAACGAACACAGGACCTCTTTCAAAATAAAACAGGAAGCATAATGAAACGCAGACATGACAACATGAATTTGACAACAACAGACATGCAGACATGAAACACATAAAGGACAAGGGAGACTTAACACCGGGGTTGAAAACACAAGGGGAAACTAATAAATAAATGAACTTAGAAAACGCAGTGAACTTAAACCTAAACCATAAACATCAAAATAAACTAAAACCCAAAACGCTGGGTCAAAAGACCCAGGATCGTGACAGTCACTCAGCTTATGAGTTAACAGTTTTTGAGAAGAATTGTCATATACAAAAACAAAATGCACTAATGTAGTCTGACTTCTGATTACTCTGTAATGTTTACATTTTGATTCAGAGAAATTTTGATGTACAGCTTGAAACTCTTTTCTACTGTCCATGCTGTGGTTCCTGAATGCAACATTAGCGTTGTAAGCCGTGAACAAATGTAAGATGGTTCTTTTTTCTCTCTCTTTTCTCTTGAAAACTGAAGCTGCCAAAGTGTCAGTGATATTTTTTGTAAGTTAATCTAAACCCACTTGCTGTAACTTTGAAAACAAAGAGATCTCAAGATTAACCTCGCACATGAAAAGAAATCTTAAAATTTGTATAGAATGTGTCAAAAAATGAAAACTACTTCAGATTCTTGATGAAATAAGGCACTTCCTCTCCATACAAGTTTCCTCTTTGCCTTCCTCACAGATCTGCAGTTTTCAAGATGAATGATATCAACATGCGGTGTTGTGTAAGTGCTCAGAGGCTCCATTTCCTACAGAAACACATGTTGTTCAGATCAGCGCTCAGACTAGTTTCACTTCTACAGAACAGAAACTCCCACAGTCACTGACACTGAGAGGAGAAATGACACAGAAAGGAGTTCAGCTGGA